CCACACACACACATACACACACACAAAAGACATGCGCAAAGAAGTTTTCAATTTATTTAATATTTAATGAATGGCAGGGTATGGGGATGTACTTTTATCTACACATATAAAATTAATAATATAATATATATATAGACATGGCACTGTGCTTTGGTCAGATCATGGCTCTTCCTAACTTTGACAACAGTTCTGTCGCTAGCGGTCTGTTGTTGTGGTCAGTCACTGGTCACCCAGCGCTCACTTTCCCTCCCCTAGCCCCTCCAGCCACCCCCTCATCGCCTCGTTCACAAGCTGAGGCGAGTCGTTCTGGACAAAGTGACCGGAATCTTCCAGCCGCTTGACCTCCATCTTGGGGCACCTGTTCTTCATCTCGGCCACGAGGTCAATGTGCAAGGCCATGTCCTTGACCCCCCAGATCAGGAGCACGGGCATGACGTAGTCCATGTCGAAGCGCACCTGGCGGGACTTGGTGAAGGCGGCGCGGTACCAGTTGATGGGCGGCGTGAGGGCGCCCGGCTGGGAGAAGGTGTATTTGTAGGCGGCGATCTCCTCCTGGTTCACACTCTGCTGGGCGGCGCTGGACAACTCCACGGCCGAGCTTTTCAGACTTTTGAAGAGGCTGTCAAACATTGTGAAACTGTTGCTGCGAAGACTTATCTCTGGGATGTAAGGCAGCCAGAAGAACAGTAAGTACCACGACATCTTTTTCTGAGCCGAGTGAGATTTGAGAAGTTTGCTGAAAGCCGGTTGGGAAGGAGCGTTCATGACGATGAGTCTGTCCACCATGTCTGGGAAGTGTCGGGCGAACGCCCAAGCCACGGCGCCGCCCCAGTCATGCGCCACCAGCACACAGCTCCTGTAGCCCAGAGCTACGATCGTCTGCCTGACGTCGGACATGAGTCGGGTCATCTCGTACGACTCCACGTCCGCCGGCTTGTCCGACTCGCCGTAGCCTCGCTGGTCAATGGCCACCACTCGGTAGTCCTTCTGGAACTCTCGGATCTGATGTCTCCAGGAGAACCAGAACTCCGGGAAGCCGTGCAGAAACAACATCAGAGGTTTGTCTTCTGGCCCGCTGGCCACGTAGTGAAGGCGCACTTCTTCCAGGTGCAGGTAACCATGGCAACCCAGGCTAGGGTCGTCCAGAACCTTCGGTTTGGGGAACGTTTTCTTGCCCCACACGGCCTTGAACCCTAGACGGTAGGTCTGCTTTAGCATTTTCAAGATGGCCGCCGCGCCAAAGAAGACGGACAGTAGCCTGACCACAAGCCACTCCACGAGGTCCCCAACAGACATCTTGCTGACTTTCCTGGATAGAGAGAAAGGAAAAAAGTAAACGTTAATATTTGTTGTTGTTTTTGAGGGAGTTTTGTAGGAGGTGGATGGGTAGGGGGTGTCATGTCACGGGTTGTTGTTGTTTGTTTGTTGTTGTTTTTTGGGGGGTGGGGAGTTGTTTTATTGGTGTGTGGGTGTTTTTTTTTGGGGGGGGGTGTCTTGGTTTTCTTTGGCATAGTGGTGTGTAAAGGTTTTATACATGAGTTCAATTCCAATCTAGGAACGGATTGTTTGGTTTGGTTTTGTTGTGTGTTGCTTTTTGTGTCGTTGTGTTGTTGTCGTGGTTGTTTTTCTTTGCTTTCTTTTGTTTTTTGGGAAGGGGGGTATTGCTTTAGGGTTTGTTGTTGTTTTTAATTATTATAGTAGAGTGTTTTACGGCCCTCGCAACTGCATAAGGTCATATGAGCGCCAAGGGGTAGGTGTCAACAGAGAAGTCTTTACAGGGAATAATCAGACTTAGACTGCTCACCTCTCTAGCTTCAACAGCACAAGGTCTGCTTCGACTATCAAGGCACCCCAAAATAGCGGGTCTCAAGAGAGTGACAAACATACAAAAGAAGTAGAGGAGAATGACAATAGTAAGGATGAGAAAAGAAAAAGCAGCAGTTCCCTGCTGTAGATCAGGCACAGTATGAGCGTGACATGAGTCAGCCCATTTATAATTCTACTATGCTTGAACGAGAAATGTCCCCCCTTTGGGAATGGCCTAAAGACACTTCAGTCAGTGGCACTGCCACGAGGGATATTTTTTGTTATGTTTGTTTGTTTGTTTGTTTGTTTGTTTGTTTGTTTGTTTGTTTGTTTGTTTGTTTGTTTGGGGAGGGTGTTTTTTATTTAATTATTAATGGAGAATCTCTGTCTTTCTCATTGGACGATACCGTACTGTTATTCAAAAGTAGGGTCGAGAACCTGCCGTGTAAAAATATCCTGACATGTATTGGTGGGGCGCAAAGTAAACAGCAGAGTAAGTACTCGGCAAAACACGGGACACTTTGTTTCAAAGTGTAGAAGCTGTAAGCTTCCCCGTGGTTTTTGCACACACACAAAAATCAGAAACTATGCAAACTGAGCCCAAAAATGTGAAATTATGCGATTCTGTCAATTTTAACAAAGAATGATTAAAGAAAATAATTAGAAATTATACACAAAAAAAGACCAGATTTTA